AGTGCAATTACTGTGTGGTCGTTAACCTCATATACTTTTCTTGTTCCTTTTAATTGTCCTCTTAACATGTTGATAGTAATATGAGTCATATTACTTGTTCTCATAAGTGTCCACTAAAATAAATGTGTAATGCCAGTTTCTTTAGGTGTTAATGGAACAGTGAATGGCAGGAGTGCTTCCTCTCCTGCTGGGAACGCTCCTGCTATGAACAGTAGTTCATTACTAGCAAAGGGAAAGAAGGAGACACCTCAAGCCAACAGTCATGAGCCGGGCCAGCTCCATCAGAAAGCCATTGAGAAAGCAAACCAAAAGGTTAATATTTGGTCTATTTATTGCTTAGTCCCTCCTCTATAACCTAATGAAAAAAATGTTGACTTTGTATTATTACCATTAAGAAACCCAACAAAAGACCACTAGAGACATCGAGCATGAGTGGCAGCCAATCAGAGTCTCAGTCAGAAAGCTCCAGCGATGTTGAGGAAAGCAGCAGCGACCCTGACGATATGGAAGAGGAAGATGATGATGATCAGAGCAGCGACAGTGAAGAGTCCGGTTATGAAAAACAGAGTCCAGCTAAGCAGAAAGTCAAAGTAAGTGTGTCTGTTGAACTGCTCTGTAAACAGTGTGTTTAGCTAAGCTCTGAAAATCCATTAAGATCAGTTTTTGCTGAAAACGTTCTCAAAATATTTTCCTTTTAGTCTAATAGTTGATTAATGTGAAAAAGCTTGTTTCAGTTTGTTTCTAGGGTAAGAACAAATAAAGGTTAATTTGTATTTGAAAAATAAAAAATGCTTTCTGTTGATTAGATGGTAGTTGGTTTGTCAATAGCAGCCTCTTTGGTGGGTGTCAAACTAGGCTTTGTGCCAGCTGACAGAGCTGCCACCATGAGGCTCTCAGTAGGAGCTGAAATGACATTCTGTCTTCTCTGTTTGCCTCATCCTCCTACTCAGCGGCTGACACACAACACTCCCGAGAGTAAAAAGAAGAGACCTTGCACAGTTGATGGCAGCTCAACTCAAGACGGACATTGTAACAGTGTTCGTTTGACTTCCTTTTATCACCCCCAGTCTTATTCCAGTCCTGCTGGCCTGCTTCAGTCTGCAGCACTGTTTCTCCAGAGGCCCAGGACTTCACAAGAGGAATGCCAGCAGCACACCAGTGTCATACAGGCCACAGGACTGGCAGTTAGCAACAGTCCCTTACCACAATCCCAGAGAGAGGCTTGTCCTCTGCATTTTAGATCTTCTCCCAGCCCCATCTCCTTCTCCAACTCATCAAAACATTTGGCCACTTTAACATCAGCAAAGCGCTTCCATCCTTCATCCTCACCAAAGCATGCTTCTGTCTCCTCTTCTCCTAAACCTCTTGCCCTCTGCTCCACTAAAAAGTCCCTCTCTCAGTGTTCCCCACTGAAACCTCTTTGTTCACGCAAACCTCCTTTCCCGTCATCTTTACCCAAACCACAAACACTGCTGGCCTCAAAAGGAGAGTCCCATATGCCAAAATTTTTGATGCCCTCTAACAAACACAGACATCCCATCAATAACACGAAGGACAGCAGTGGAAACTTCCCAGATCAAAGCCTGTTACTCTTACACACATCTAAATTGAAACAGGTGAGTTACAGTATCGAAGCACATGAAATAAATGACAGCAATGAAGCCTAAAGCGTTTCCTCCTCCGCATCCACGCACACATAATCCTGTTTGTATTTGTTTATCAGCCACCATGGTTTCTGTCATGAAATGATTGTGTTCTTTCACAACAGAGAATAAGTGCTCACGCGCCTTTATCTGGGCTTTTATCATACTTGGTGAGCATCTGACCACTACATCACTAGAAGTGACAGTGTGTTTAGCTCTTGTGGGAAAACTTCACAAAATTGACAAGCAATTAGCTCTGTTATGCTTTGGGCTGTTTATTATCAAGAGAGAGAAACTGGCCTCTTCTGCAGGACTCTGTTATTGTCACTATCCTAAGAAGGAGGGAAATGTAGCAATCTGTAACAAGAGGGGTTTTAATTCGGATGATGGCTGTACATTAAATGCATGCTTTTGATTGCCAGATTTTGACAATGGCAACAAATAGAAGATGACAGCTAATGTCTCATGATGGCTGTAAGCCAAACAATTTGAAAATATTTTTCCCATAGCCGCCCGGGTTTCTTCATTGTTTCTGACAGGCTCGAGCCATCTCTTCATTGTTACTGTCACTTATTACACCTTAAATTCCTTAATTTACAGCCCACAGCAGTGTAATATGAGTGACAGTTGGTGTAATTATTTCCTCCTTTTTGTGTGTGTTCCTTTTTATTTTTTTATTTATAAAGCCCCTCAATTCCACGGATTCTGTGAAGCAAGTTTTCTCTCAGCGACCAAAGAGCCAAAGCTGGTAAAAACAAAAACAGAAAATCACAATTAAACGTCCACTTCACTGTTGCTGACACCACCTGAATTATAGTCGTATCAGTGAGCTGTTTTCTCTCCACATCAGCAGTAGCAACATGTTCCTGAACCTTTATCCTAACGGAGCGATCAACGGTGCAGTTCAGGATGCCCCTCTGGCCCTCATCACTAAGCCCCGCATCCAGAGCAGCACCCCCAACAGCAAGCCTCTCTTAGCAGCCACCAGTCCTCCCTGCTCCATGCCTATCAACTTGAGCACTGGCACCAAGGAAATGTTGGACAGCTCCGCCTCCCCACTTAAGACTTCTGCTTCATCGGAACCCAGATCAAGGAAAACTACCAAGATGGTGCATTCGGGAAAGAGCCTCACCAGAACCAACACATCCTGTCTGCCTGTAGATTTGGTCAGAGACAGTGAGCCTGATATCCACAGCAGCAAAAACTCGGACGACTCTTTAGGAGACGATTACGATGATGATGAGGATGAAGATTCTGGGAGCAGTTTTTCAGGTTAGATTAATTAGACCTGTCTTTTAATTAAATAAAGAATAACATGATCATACTTTATTGCTGATAGAAGCTGTGAAATATGACGTAGGTCCTGGAAATTAGCTGTGCTCAGTGTGGTTTGAATGTGTGTGGACTGTTAATTAGGTAATAATTTATCTCTCTCTGTATGTGGCACACTGGAATCCCCCACAGAGTCAGAGAGCATCCTGGGGAGCGACTCTGATGCCTTTGAGGATGATGTCAAGGAGTCCGTTGAGACAGAAGCAGATAGCGATGCAGAAAGAAGTCCTCTGAAAGTAGCTCAAACCTCATTGTCTACTCAAAAGTCCTCCTCGAGCCTCTCAGCCACCCCCTCCCTGCTCAACATCCAGATTACCAAACCTCCAAGTCTACATAGTAGTTTTTTCAGCCCCACCACCAGCACCGGAGCAATGGGCAAACAAAGTGCACCATCACCACCCTTCACATTTGCTTCGCAGCCAGGTAATAAATAATAAATCCATAATCCAGATGAAATATCAATTTGATATGAAACTCAGCTACAATTTAGGCTTCAGTGAGAGGAGATGACGCATTTTGAAGTAAAATATAATTAACGATCTTGTCAACAAACTTGTGAAGTAAAAATATTATTAGTGAATTTTACTCAATACTGCATATGCTACTTGTACTGCTGAACCACTGGGGCATCTGTGAGGTTTGCACCCTCCTACAAAACATTAAAATGCTGTTTTGTGTGGTGTTGCGTATCGATACCCACATGGGGACTGTAGTTTAATACTGAAAACCGTTAGCCACAACAGGCATCAAATATATCTCCTTGAAGCAGGATTTATATTTTAACGGATGGCGGGTTTGCGGGTCTGCTCAGGTCCCTCAGAAGAGAGAAAAGCGCTGAGTCATTTCTCCTGTTTTCTAGGATCAGGGAGGAGGAGGAGGGTTACGGATGAGAGAGTTCTGCGATTGCCTCTTGAGTTTGGGTAAGAGATTGAGCCTCCACTTTGTATCAAAAGAGCCAGATAAAGGTTTGATATTCTGACCATGCCCAATTTGTTCTCAGTGTCATATTTGCTGTAGTGTTGGTGTTTAGGCTGTAGGTGTTAAAGTAAAATGTCAGCTCACTGATGGCTGAAAAGTGACCTTTCGCACATCAGCTGCAGCTAACTTTTTCTTGGTGGAGCAGCTTAAAACGCACAGTATGGGCACCAACAGACAGTGAAGTTATATTTGCAGGTCTGCCACATCGGTTAAATATTAGAGTTTTCAGTTAAACCTAAATTAATGACATATTTATTATTTTAACAAATCATTCTCTCCTTTACCATGTTATTTGTCTAATTCGCTTTTAAGATTTTGCTGACTTGTGTAAACAAGACACACTCGAGATTAAAGTGGTAATCGTGGGGTAAAGACTGCAGCTGGTACTCAAAAAAACCCTTCCAGATTTGAATGCGGTGACATCTTCATCAATGTCCAAATAGAAGCAGACCACAAAAATATACCTTCTCTCCTTTGGGGACTTTGTGAGTAATACATCATAGTGGGATGGAAATTAAATGAGGCCTGTCAGTTGGACAGCAGTTGGGATTTAATTGCATCCAGCCTCAAAACAGACATGCAACATTAGCAGCTCCCTGCCCACAAATTCTGCAGGCTTGAACGAGGACAGCCTTTCATCTTGTAGGGATGTTTTTCATTACCAGGTTCACAGGAAGCAGAGGCCGCAAAGCTATATTTCAGCCGAGTTTTGCTGTCTGGGATACGATCCTACATGTGTTTTCTGTAAGCTGTAGTCCAGTGGAGCTCATGGGAACTGCTGGGCTAGCCAGTGACCATTTATTTACACTCTGGTGAACAACAAGGCCACAGACTACACCGTGAGCATCAATTCTATATTAACTATGTTTTACTTGGTGTCTTTTTGTTTTGTTTTTTCCATTCAGGTGGCAGAGAGAGACACGCATCAGGACCGTAGCGGGGCGTCTGCAAGGCGAGGTGGCTTACTTTGCACCGTGTGGGAAAAAGCTCCGACAGTATCCTGATGTAGTGAAGGTAGTGGTATTTTCTGAGAAGTGGATTTAGAGCTTTTAATGATTGCATGTACTAATCAGACTGTTGAAGGATTATGTAACGTTTGGTGGTTCCTACCTATGGATTAATTAGTGTGTGTTATTCTTTTGTCTGCAGTACTTAATCAGGAATGGAATAACTGAAATCTCACGAGACAACTTCAGCTTTAGTACAAAAATTAAAGTTGGGGATTTCTATGAAGCCAGAGAAGGGCCCGAGGTAAAGGCTTCTACCTTTTCATGTTCGTTTCTTACAGACGTGAGCTCACAGTAACAACAGTGATTATTATATGTGCAATCTTTGGTGTACAGTTAGTAGATTTTGTTAATTTTAGCCTCTCAGTGCTGATTTTGCAGAACATTTCAGCTAATCAGAAAATTACAAATACATTTATGTGAAAGTCGCATTTTTAAACCCAGCATCTTTGGAAGGTTATAGAAATGGACTAAGATCAAAATGACCCTGTATATGGGTTTTATAGCGCTAAGCTAGCCATTTTTATCCTTCTGCTTGTATCTACTCCAAATTACCCAGGGTTTACAGTGGTTCCTACTGGCTGAGAATGAGATTGCTCCCAGCATCATAGCGATGGATGGGAGGCGCAGCCGGCGCACAAAGTCTGAGCACCAGCCGACAGGTGATAGCACTGGGGCTATACAGTGGAAACCTTATCCTCTAAATGGTGGTGAAAATAACTTCCAAGATGTCTCTGATGCCAAGTTACTTCGTAAGCTGGAAGCTCAAGGTCAGTTAACATGGAAAAATGTTTCCATGGCACCTGTTAAAGGTGGGCTTTAGACTGCCAGGAGACTCAGAAATCATTGATAACCTTTTGGGAACCAAGAATTCTTATCAGAAATTTCTTCACAGTAATTTTAATTAACTTCCGAGTTTAAATTATAGTTAAAGTCTAACTAAATTATCAGTTTTCATGCAGCTTTCCATGTTACTGATAATAACTATTAGCATTAGAAGTTGTTTTAAAGTCAGTGCAAGCTGGAAGAAGTGGGTAAACTTTGAACGTCTTCATTTGGAAAATGTCCTTTAGGTGCAAAGGCCTCCATCACGTTTTCTTATAGCTTAGTTCCAGAACAGTGAGGATGAAGTTTTACCATTCCTGCCTGCACAACTGTTAGAGTGACATGGCTTTCCAAAATATGAACATGGTTCTTTTCCATTCAGTCTCTGGTTGATTTACTTAAGTGCCTTGATCTTCCTTTTTCCAGTTGAGGTAGCGGAACAGCTTTCAAACTACATTGCTCCCTTCACCATGTTTCACATTTGGGAGTGTACAATGGCATTTGGTCCTCCAAACATTGGTAACGTGCAAAAAAAAAATTTTTTGTCACAACTGAGACATTTTTGTCTGAGTTGTGCCTTTTCTGCACAGAATGTACACAAAGAAATGTGAAGCATCCAGTTAAGCTTTTTGCACTGCTGTGTTTTTATTGGTGTCCAGTGGTTTCATTTGTGGTTTTCTGCTGGTATTACCTGTTACCCTTCGACTGCTTTTTACTTTTTACTGCTTTCAGGGATTGCGTGTTTTGATCTTGGTGTGATCTTCGCAAGGCTCTCATGCCTGGGATGGATGGCAACAGTCCTGCATTTCCTCAATTTGTCCATCTTTTTGGACCATTTGTCTTAAATTTGACAGATTAATATTTCACGTCTTTAAAAATGCTTGAAAATCTTGTGATCGAGGCAGGCTTCACATCAAAAATTTTGTTTGAAAACAGTAGGCTTTGTCTGTATTTATATGCCTTTATAAACCTGTTAACTGTTCCTACTTCATGCTTAAAGACATATCGAGTGTTTTGCTGTTTGATTTGCTGTCAACAAGATTTGTTGTCTTATTGGACAGCCACAAATGGCTTTGACTCTTAGTCTCCGACCTAAACTTCCAGTTGTGATTACACCTTTAAAATCAGCCTACTCTGTTGTTTGCATTTATGGCAGTGTTTAAATTCTCCAGTTAGCTTGTCACAAAAAAACAGGCACTGTCTCTGTAGGTTGTTTAGAGTGATTTGGCAGGTATGTGTGGGTCAGGTTTTTCTAATATTTTGAGGACCTTACAGCATATGCGATTTCATGCTTCATATTTCATATTTCATCATGTTGCAGAAATAGCACGACAGGCAGCTCAGATCAAAATGATGAGAAAACTAGAGAAACAGGCTATAGCGCAAGCCGCAAAGGAGGCAAAGAAACAACAAGGTAAACTTCTGTCGTCAAATCAGACTCATTTGTAACACTAGATGACATGCTTTGTGCAGACCAGATTTTCGTGTGTTTTTCAGCAATAATGGCTGCTGAGGAGAGGAGGAAAAAGAGGGAACAGCTGAAGATTCTTAAACAGCAAGTAAGGATTTATGTTTAATTTTCCACGCAGAGCTTGAGCCACTCTGCTCTTTACGCACTCCAAGGTGAAAAGGTTTTAAGCACACTTGAATAGCTTTGAAACCGTACAAGAAAGTTGCTGTTCTCCACAATGCTGCACCTTTCTCATCTGCATAGAGCCACTGTACGTCTTCACCCCCACACCGTGCTCCCCTCCACCGCTCTATAACATGCATGACTTAATAGTTAATTCATTTGATCTCGCCCTCATCCTTTTACCAGGAGAAGATCAAGCGCATTCAGCAAATTCGTATGGAGAAAGAACTCCGTGCACAGCAAATTCTTGAGGTTTGTCCTGAAAGTTATTGCAGAAACATTCTTAAACACTTCCTCTCTGCTGTTGATAGGATTTATAGGAAGAAAAAAAAAAAAGCAACCAAAGGCTATTCCTAAATTATGTGGTCCTACTTTTAGTCAGTACATGTGACTAATGCTTAATTGGTTTTTTGCAAAAAGTGCCATTGAATATGAAAATCTCCTCAGACCATGCTGGAGCTTAATGCAAAATACAGTATTTCATTAAGAAAGAGGTGGACCAGAGTTTACCGTGGCTAGGTGAAATACCTACTTTGCATTCCCTCACTAATAGAAGCTGTGAATATTTTAGCCTTCATAAATCAAATTTCAGTTGACACGCTTGGCAAGTGGCTCTTAACAGGATTTCATTGGGGCTATAATTACTGATAGAAATTTTGCTTAATTTATTCTCACTGCCTGCTGGTGTTTAATAATAACCACTGCCATTTTGTCTTTCAGTCTTAATGGGAGGAAATAATTATCTCATTGCTCAAGATTTCAGTCTGTTAGATTTGATATTATCAGGGAGCCGCTGGCTTTAAGTTGACTGACAAACGGCAATTTTGGATGTAACAAGGAAATCACTCAGTTTTAAAGTTTTCTCTGTGTGATATCTTAGTTGAAAATGAGTCAATATATTAGTCAAAAGCATTTGATAGATATCTCAAAGGTTTGCTTCAGTTAATAGCATCGTTTGTTTGTGCTTGAATGAGTGCGTCGGGTCTGTTTTGCGCTTGCAGGAAAAAAGAAAAAAAAGGGAAGCAGCAGCGAGTGCCAGGATACTGGAAGCTGAGAAACGTAACAAGGTGAGATGAGGTTAATGAGCTAACCTTTGTTTGATTTGAACATCTATCGCTGCTTACGTAATATTTTTGGTCTTTGCCTTTTAGTTTAAAAAGCACTGCATTCCACACGCATGTATAAATGAACACATGATTACATGTGTGTTATGTTTCCTTTCCACTCGAACTAATTTTGTAAAGGAGAGGGAGATGCGAAGACTACAAGCCGTCATACTGAAGCACCAGGTATTGTTGCCTAAGTCACACGCGTTGGAAATTTCTTATATTAGTTTCAATTTTTTTGTAATGTGTAATTTTTCTGTTTCTTAATATTTTGACAACTCTTTCTGCCAGGAGTTGGAGAGACATAGACTAGATATGGTATGAGTATGCTTCTATGTGTTTTGATAACGTATTGTGAATGTCTTGTGTTATATGGCTGCCATCGCAACAATGGTTAACTCCTAGTTTTTGCTGTAGTCAAACAACATCCGTCTGCATGGCTTTTCCAGTACAGTGCACCGCTTATGTCTGCAATATTGATCTCTCAGATACACACATCAATTCTCTGCCCAGAATGATCACGAATGAATGCAACACACTCTAATAAATATTTCTATTGCACTGTTTGTTTTGAAACGATGTCATGTGTCTGCTTTCATCCTTTTTATGCGTATATGATTGTATAGATATGCAGCAATAATAATATATAATCTCCATGATGTCTTGGTACTTTAATATGATGTGGTTCATCAGTTTAGTGAAGATGCATTCATTATTTTGCTCGTCGCTGCAAAACAATATCTGCTGCTTGCGGTTAAAACTCTCAGCCTGCTTCTCGCCAACACGCTCAGATTAATTTTGTAATGGCTGTGTCTAACACTGAGCTTATGCTTTGTGTATGCATCACTGCCCTCATTTTCTTTTTGTTTATCGCCGTGTCCCATTTTGTTTAACCGTTCCATAAAATGTACAATGTGCAACACGCGCCGACTGTGACGTCTTTGTGCATGTCATGAGGAATGACATCTGTGAACAAATGTCTTTCTTTGAAAATGATATAATCTGTGTGTCTGTGTTCTACCAGGAGAGGGAAAGACGCAGGCAGCACATGATACTCATGAAAGCTGTCGAGGCCCGCAAGAAGGCGGAGGTGAGTAACTGCTGATGTCTCACAGCTTGTTTTTGCAGACTTGCTGAAGGAA